GTATGTAAAGTGTGCAGGATGAAGAATAAAAAGTAGTAATTTTAGATAGTATTCTAAATAGAGTGACCATCAATTTAAGACAGACTGTTATATATTTAGGAAACTATGACCCTTAGGGTAACTACAAATCTAAAGCCTATAAAAACAAAACCAAACACCCAAGCATGTTACACTAAAGAAAATAACCAAGCAAGAAAGTATAAAAGAGGAAGAAAGGAAGAGAGGAACTGCAAAACACCAAGGAAACAAAGTGGAAGCACATACCTATCAATAATTACCTTAAATGTAAACAGACTGAATGCACCAATCAAAAGACATAATGTGGCAGGATCTATATGCTAGGTATAAGAGACTTCTTTCAGACCTAAAGACATACACAGAGTGAAGGTGAGGGATGAAAAAATGGTATTTCATGCAATAAGGAATGTCAGTAGTTATATGAGACAAAACAGATTTCAAAACAAAGTAACGAGACAAAGAAGGGCATTACATAATGATAAAGGGACTAGCACAACAAGGGGACAATTATAAATATCTATGCACTCAATGTAGAAGCACCTATATATATAAAACAAATACTGAGAGAACCAAAGGGGGAAACAGACAGCACATAATAATATTAGGAGACTTTAACCACCCACTCACATCAAAAGACAGATCAACCACACAGAAATAAGTTAACAGATGCACTGAATGACACATTAGACCAGATGGATGTGACAGATACATACAGAACGTTCACCCCAAAACACTAGGATACACATTTTTCTCAAGAGGACATAGAATGTTTTCCACAATAGGTCACATTAGGACACAAAGAGAGCCTCAATAAATTCCAAAAGTTTGATACTGTATCAAGCATCTTTTCAGATCACAATAGTATGACACTGGAAATCAACTGCATGAAGAAACACAAAAACCCCACAAACACAAGGATGCTAAACAACATGCTTCTAAATAATCAATGGATCAATGAACAAAGGAAATCAAACAATACATGGAGAGAAATGAAAACAGAAACACAACTCAAAATATATGGGATGTAGCAAAAGTGGTTCTAGGGGGAAGTACACAGCAATACAGGCCTACCTCAAGAAAGAAGAACAATTTCAAATAGTTTAAATTCACAACTAAAGAAAATTATAATAGAAGAACCAAAATCCAAGGTTAGAGACATAATAAAGAACAGCAGAAATAAAATAGAGAAGAATAAAACCACAGGAAAAGGCAATTAAACCAGTAACTGGTTATATGAGAAAATAAAATAGACAAACCCCTAGCCAGACTTATCAAGAAAAAAAGAGATAGTACACAAACAAAATCAGAAATGAAAAACGAATAGACACAATGGATACCACAAAAATACAAAGAATGATTAGAGAATTTTATGAAAAATTATATGCCAATTAGACAACCTAGAAGAAATGGAAAAATTCCTAGAAAAGTACAACCTTCCAAGACTGGCACAGGAAGAGAAAATCTGAACAGACCAATTACCAGTAACAAAACTGAATCAGTAATCAATAAACTCTCAACAAACAAGTCCAGGAGCAGATGACTTCACATCTGAATTCTTCCAAACATTTAAAGAAGAGCTAATACCAATCCTTCTTAAAGTATTCCATAGAAGAGGAAAGAATACTTCCAAAAACCTCATCCTATAAGGCCAGCATCACTCCAGACAAAGAAACTACAGGAAAATAAAATTGTAGACCAATATCCCTGATGGATAGATGCAAAAATACTCAATAAAATTGTAGTAAACTGAATCAAAAATACATCAAAAGGATCATCCACCATGACCAACTGGGATTTATTCCACGGATGCAAGAATGGTAAATAATCATAAATTGATTTGATCTGTAGCTCCAGGGGGAAGTGTGTTCCCAGCCTGGGGCAAATAAGCCACTGAAACCAGTGAAGCTGAAATCACTCAAGGGAAAAGCCAGATGGGAGAAACCTTTTATCTGCTCACAAGGGGCCTGGTTCCATTTACCACCTCAGCTGCGGCTCTCACTCTCCCTTCCTCCCCACCTCGGCCTGCACTCACCTGTCCCCACCACCTCTCTGGGAGGAACTCTGATGGGGAATCCCTGGAGACTGACATGAGCCAGAACAATCACACCCCAGAGGTGCAGAGAGAATAGCTTATCTCCATCTCTCATCTCAGAGGGAAGCAGCATTGTATGTAAAGGCCAGGTGGCAGATTCTAGAAATTTTGCACTTCTACCTCACGGTGATATATGACATTAACAAAAGGAAGGATAAAAACCGTATGATCATCTTAACAGGTGCTGAAAAAGCATTTGACAAAATTCAACATCCATTCATGATAAACACTCTCAACAAAATGGGCATATAGGGAATATAGCTCAACATAATAAAGGCCATATATAGGACAAACCCACAGCTAATATTATGCTCAATGATGAAAAGCTGTAAGCTTTTCCTCTAAGATCAGGAACAAGACAAGGGTGTCCACTTTCACCACTTTTTATTCAGCATAGAATTGGAGATCCTAACCACAACAGTCAGACAACACAGAGATAAAAGGCATCTCAGTTGCTAAGGAAGAAGTAAAACTGTCACTATTTGCATATATGAGATGATACTATATATAGAAAACCCTAAAGATTCCACCAAAAACTATTAGAACTAATAACCGGATTCAGCCAAGTTGCAGGATACAAAATCAATATACAGAAATCTGTTGCATTCTTCTATACTAACGAAGAACTAGCAGAAAGAGAAATTGGGAAAACAATTATATCAAAAAGAAAAAAATACCTAGGAATAAACCTAACCAAAGAGGTGTAAGACCTGTACTCAGAAAACTGTAAGACATTGATGAAAGAAATTAAAGAAACAAAAAAATGGAAATGTATCCCATGCTCATGGGTACAAAGAATTAATATTGCCAAAATGGCCATCCAAAGCAATTTACAGATTAAATGCAGTCCCTATCAAAATACTAACATTTTTCAATGAACAAGAGTAAATAATCCTAAAATCCATATGGAAACACAAAAGACACCAAGAGCCAAAGCAATCTTGAGAAAGAACAACAATGTTGGAGGTATTATGTTCCTTGATTTCAAGCTATCATTACAAAGCTGCAGTAATCAAAAGTGACACTGGCACAAGAACAGACCTGTAGATAAATGGAACAGAATAAAGAGCCCACAAATAAATCTATGTGTATATGGTCAATTAATATATGATAAGGGAGTCATGAATATACAATGGGGAAAAGATAACCTCTTCAATAACTGGTTTTGGTAAAACTGGACAGCTACATGCAAGAGAATGAAACTGGACTACTGTCTATATCTATACACAGAAGTATATAACCAAAATGGATTAAAGATCTGAATATAAGACATGAAACCATAAAACTCATAGAAGAAAACAAAGGCAAAAATCTCTTGAACATAAGGATGAGCAATTTTTCTGGACACATCTCCCCGGCAAGGAGAACAAAATCAACAATGAACCAGTGGGACCACATCAAAATAAAAAGCTTCTGTACAGCAAAGGACACCATCAACAGAAAAAGGCAGTATGGGAGAATATATTCATAAATTATATATCTGCTAAGTGGTTAATATCCAAAGTATATAAAGAATTCATACTCCTTAACACCAAGAAAACCAAATAACCTGATTAAAAAATGGGCAGAGGATCTGAATAGACAATTTTCCAAAGAAGAAATATAAATGGCCAATAGGCACATGAAAAGATGCTCTACACTGCTAATCAGCAGGGAAATACAAAGCCAAACCACAATGAGATATCACCTCACACCAGTCAGAATGGCCACTACCCAAAAGACAACAAGTAACAAGTATTGGGAAGAATGTGGAGAAAAAGGAACCCTCCTACACTATTGGTGGGAATGTAATTAGTGCAGCCACTAAGGAAAGCAGTATGCAGGTTCCTTAAAACTAAATATAGAAATACCATATGACCCAGTAACTGCATTTCTAGGAATTTACCCAAAGAGAACAAAATCTCTAATTTGAAAACATATATGCATGCTTATGTTCACTGCCTCATTATTTACAAAAACCAGTATATGGAAGCAACCAAAGTGTCCATCAATAGATGAATGGTAAAGAAGCGGTGGTAAGTATACACCAATGGATTATTATTCAGATGTGAAATAGTAAGCAAGCCTGCCATTTGTTACAACATGGATGGACCTAGAGGGTATTACACTAAGTGAAAAAGCTAAGTGGAGAAAGACAAATACTATGTGATTTCACTTACATGTGGCATCCAGAAACAAAATAAACAAAACAGCAGTAGACTCACAGACACTGAGAAGTGACTGGTGGTTGCCATTAGGGAGGGGTTGGGGTGAGTGGGTGAGGAGGATGAAGAGGCACAAAATCTCAATCATAATATACGTTGGTCACGGGGATGGAAGTACAGCATGGAATACAGTCAGTGGTTTTGTAACATCTTTTTATGTTGTCAGTAATTGCTCTACTTGTGGTGAGAACTTAATGTGTATAACTGTTGAACACTGTGTTGTATACTTGAAACCAATATAAAATAGTATATCAAGTATATCTCAGTAAAAAAAAGAAGAAATATGGTATTCAGATGTATTAAGGAAAAATGGGAGAGTGGAACAGTGTATAGCATACTACCACTTGTATACAACAATGGAAAAAAGTAAATATAGATATATTTAGTATTTCTGTACATATATGCTGAAAATTCGTGAAATATTTCTGGGCAAATACACAGGATACTGATGGCACTCATGGCTCAGGGAGAAGAACTGGGTGACTGGGAGGAAAATTTTGCCATCTATTTGGACTATTGTGAACCACTTAAAGTCTGGACCATGTAGCACATCTATTTAAGATATGCAGAAAAATCAAGTTTTTTCCTGATAATTTTTCCAACCACTTGAGACTACCTATTTAAACAAACAGAACAGAGACGCTATTACAAATACATTTGGAAATATTCAGCTTATTTGCACATACCTGGAATTCTGTTTCTTTAGTTACTGTCCTCAAATCATCTTCTTTACTTATGATCTTCTGCAGCTAAAAAGATTGCAAATATTGAGATGTGTGTCTATTGGATTTTTCAAAACAACCTAGAAAACAGATGCTAAGTTTTTATTATAAAATATATACATACTAGTTACTTGTTAAATGTTGCCTGAAATTCTTTCTGCATTATAACTCCTAATACTGTTATTTTTCTTAGATCCTGTAAAAATCAAAAGATAAATAGATAAGCAAGTATTAACATTATTATTATAACTTGGATTTTTTTTCTCCTATAGAAATTAGCTTACTTAATATATACATATTGTGAAAGCATCACTGTATAAAAACTTTATCCTCATTCTTCAAGAGAAAATTTTATTTTTTTTGGTATCATTAATAGTTTATGCCACATTTTCAAGTATATAGCTCTTTAAAGCTATTTATGTAATATAAATGTTCTTCCTTTTTGTTTTGTGCATTTATAAAGCATTAAAATAATTTAAACATCTATATTTCTACCAAGTATAAAACTGTCAATATTATCTTGAGTTGGGTACATTAAAAAACCTACCTACCTTTCCAAGTCATTTTTACCAATCCTCATATGGAAAGCAAATTTTAAAAAGTTAAAAAAAAATTAAATGTAGACAAAAATTCAAACTATGGATTCAAATCAATTAGGAGACAAACCTTCACCTATTTTTTTTTCTAGACTAGTTCTTGTTAATAGTTTGAAAATTGCTGCAACTAAATTCTAAATTAATGATCTCAAATTTAGCTGCTTCTCTTATGTTGGTTTTACAATATTTATTGTTCTCTAAATCCTCAACTTTTCACACCTCCCCCACCCCATTCTTATTTTAGAGAAAAAAGTTGAAAACCTTTATATTTGTTTGATCTTTTACTTTTTAAGTGGATAGAGTGTAACACCAAGTTCAATACCCACCATTTCTCCCTTTCTTTTACTGCATGTCCTTTTAAACTTTTTTATGGTGGAAATTTTCAAACATAGTGTGAGGAAAATGGGTTTTTGACCAGAACTGGCTTTGAAAGTGCCCATTGTGTAGACATATAAGAGCCTGTCTGCACATCAATGGCATGTTTACCAGTGGCAGAGCCACTAGCCAGTCACAGAAATTCTGGCGCTGGGGTGGGTGGAGAGGCTGTCCTCTCCTGAGTTCCTGTGCTTACTTGGACAGGCACCCATCAGTCACCAGGGACCTGCCCAGAGTTCTTTCTGAGGCAAGGGAGTTTGGAGTGGAGCTGGAGGCTGGAGAGAGTGAGCTGGGGAACCAAACAAGAGGGAGTGGAGCGCACGTGGAGAGAGAGTGAGGCAAGCAGCTGGGATCTGGAGTGAAGAGAGACTGAGACATGAGAATAAAAACCTTTAATCCTCAATCTCTCACCCTTGTTTTCCTTTGGTCCTATCAGATTCATAGTGAACTTGCCCAGGGTGGGGAACCACCTTCCTCCAGGAGCTACACATAGCAGAGTAGAGAGAATTCTATAATAAATCACCATATATATATTATTCAGCTTCAACAGTTTTCAAAATTTTGCCATTCTCAGTTCACCTATTTTTCTACGCACTCCCTGTTCCCTTCTCTATTATTATTTACAGGACTTCAGGAAAAATTTACACATATATATTGAAATGTACAAATTTCAGCCATACAATTTTAACAAATGGGTACACCTGAGTAACCTACACTTCTGTCACCGGACAGAACATTTCCATCTTCTCGGGAAGTTTTTTTGTGTCTCTTCCCAGTCAATCCTTTCTTTCTTCATCCCCACAGAGGGAGAATCAAAGAGTTCTGATACTCCCCACCCCAACACCTAAATTAGTTTCACTTAGTTTAGAAAGTCAAATGAATGACACCAAATAGTATGTATTCTTTTGTGTGTGCCATCTTTCATTCTGCATAATGGTTCTGAGAGTTATCATTCTTATTTGCATATCTATATAGCCTGTTCTTATTTATTGTTGAGTTGTAAGAATATTCCACAATTTATCCATTAATCTTTTGATAGATGTTTACATTGCCTTCAGTTTTTGGTTACTGGGAATGAAGCTGAATAAACTTTCTCTTTTTTCCAGCTTTATTGAGGTATAATTAATAAACAAAAAACTGCATATATATACATTTTGATGAGTTTGGATGCATTTATCAGTGATACATCACCAAAATCAAGGTGATGAACACATTCTGTTAATATGCCTGATGAAACTGATTCTCAACCATTACACAGATTTTATATTCCTCGAATAAGTGTCACTTGGTTGTGATATACTCTGTTCTGCTCTATCTGATTAAGTATATTTTGTATCTTTATTAATGAGGAAAGTTAGTCTACAATTTCCTTCTCTTGTTAGGTCTTTGCCCAAAGTTTTAGTTATCAGGGATATGTTGGTTTCATAACATAAGAAGGAAATGTTCTTTTTCTTTTGTTTTTCTGAATGAGTTTGTGCAAAATTGCCATTTCTTTTTCCTTTAAATGTATGCCAGATTGCACCAGTTAAACTATCTGGGCCTGGACATTTCTTTGTGGGAAATTTTTTGATAAAAACTTAAATTCCTTTGATAAAGGGCTATTTAGATTTTGTATTCTATCTCTTGTTACTTTTGGTAAGTTTTGTTTTTTAAGGCATTTATCCAGTTCATCTGAGTTATCAAATTTATAGTCACATATGAATCAGCTGTTCACAATATTCCATTTTAATCCTTTTGATATCTGTAGGATCTGTTGTGATACCTCCTTTCATTCCTAATATTATTTGAATACTGTATTTTTGTTTCTTTTCTAGATCAAATACTGAAAATTAATAAAAAATTACCATGCAGATAACAATTTAAACAATAGATGTTATTCATTAAAATGATTATAAATTTTTGTAGAAAATTTTTGCAGGAAACTTATTTTTCTTTCATAAGACATTTAATATAGTTGTTATAACCTTCACATAGTCATTTTCAAATAGTTACAAACAAAACAAAAAAAGCAAATAGGATTAGTTCCCTGAGAAAAGAATTTTTTAAGGAAGCTTATTATAATATTGGTTTATTCCAATATGATGTGTAATTTGGAATGAGGGTTTGTCCTACAGTCTATCCAAGTGGGTTTAGGGCCAGGTAAAACTTGTCATGTTAGAATCTTACCTAAATTATTTTAGTTTGCATTCAGGGAAAGGGGTTGTAGCAGGTGCTAGTGTACTTTGAAGACTATAGTGCTATATATTAATTCTATAGTAATAGCTCCATTTGAAAGAACATAAACATTTTGTGTCAGATAATCTCTTATGCCAGAAAGACTCTCTGGTCTACTGAGACACTTCCCAAAATGGCTTTATGTGACCCTGATTCATAATAGCAATGTACTAAGTACTGATCATGTGATAGAGTGCTGTGCAGGGCACATAATGTACTTGCTCTTAGGAACTTACATTCTAATGGGCTGGAGATAACAAATAAATGAACAAATAAATAAGGCAGATACAGGGCAGATAATGTACTTGCTCTTAGAAACTTACATTCTAATGGGCTGGAGATAACAAATAAATGAACAAATAAATAAGAGAATTTCAGATAATGTCAAGTGCTGTGACTAGACTAAAACAGTTAACAGGATTCAGAGACTGCAGGGGAGGGGTTACTGTTAGATGGGCTTATTCTGGTGAGTTCTCTTTGAGGACATGACATCTGGGCTGAGAACAAAATGATTAAAAGTTACCAAAGGATTGGAGGAAGGACATTCTAGGCAGAGAGAAGAGCAAAGTTTCTGGTAGAAATACAAGTGCTTTGTTAGAGAAACAGAGAAAAGGCAAAGTGGTTGTACCTAAGTGGTAAAAAAAGAAGCTGGACACAGTCACCAAATACAAATTCTGAATGATTAAAAAAGTACTGCCAAATTGACTATTTAAATTTATATTGATATTTTTAATTATCAATGAAAATTATCAAATGAAAAAAGTATATATTTGATTGATTTTTGCCTTCAGGATCATGGTAATTCAAATTCTGGAATAAGAACACTATTCCAAAACCAAGAAGAATAAATTCTATTTTTGAAGGCTTTTATATTAAATAATAATATCTCTAGCAGGTATATTTAGCACAATAAAATTATAACACTATTATATTAAGAGCAGTATGAAGGCAATGTGAGAATAAAGGACCACCTGAAGAAAAACTTATACTAGTAAACCCACTTGTCATTAATCTATTGCTTAAAGAAATTACACTAAAACCCTGGCACTATCCCAAATAAGTATACATTGCCATATGTCAAGGTAAAGATTAAATGGATTAACTATTACTGGTTTTGATTGCTGCTGGTATTGTTTATTATTATCTGAGAGAGAAGAGCTTATATAGATAGTTGTGTTTTACTTCTGGAGACACAGAGGTAAGTAATATGCTAACCAACACAGTTTCTAGATTTGAGCTTTAATAAAACATGAATGTAGCACAAAAACAAAGGTAAAAAACCGAGGCAATTTACATTGTAAGACATATTCAAGACTTTATACTAATATATCTTATCATTGCTTTTGTTTTTGCTTTTCAAATCACTGTTATATTTCTGTTCTGGGCATTAAAGTAATTCTCGTTATTTGCTGCTCATTAGTGCTTATGGTAGGAACAGTAATAAATAAGATTTACTGTGGGAACATTCATAAGCTCAAACCAAAAGCAAACCAAAACTCCCTTTTCCCTTCAATATGCTTTTCTGATCTGAAAAGAACTGTTAGGTTCTTTGAATAAAATCTCAAATATAAGATGCTACATACTTACGGTTTCCTAATACAATGACCATGGAAATAAAGTAATTATTCAATAACTAATGTAAATGTAGTTTTTCTCTCCTCTATGATTGTTATTATTTTTTATTGAGGTATAACTAACATCCGAGATTATATTAGTTTTAGGTCATGACATAATGATTCAATATTTGTATACACTGTTAAATGATCACCACAAATAGATCTAGTTTCCCTGTCACCATATAAAGTTACATAATGTGCAATAAAATATTGACTATAGTCACCA